AAACATAGTAAAATAATTATTTATCTACATTATAGGAATTCAGGTTTGTTCTTCAGTGACTTTAATCGTATTTGGTTGCCCTTATACCACATCCAGTAATTTGCGTTTCTTGTTGCGTGTAAAGATCAACCAACACCTATATTTAAATTTTGAATACCATTAGTATAAATTATGAACGAACCATAAGCTTCTGACCTCAGCACGATATAATCAATTTCTGTAAATTAGAAAAATATAAGTCAAGCATAGAAATATTAAAACTCACTTTATTTTATTAGCTTGTTGTTTTTTTTTTAACTTAACTTTAATATCATATTTGGTTTATAGAAACTTTGCACATACCTTATTCGTAGGCTCGTCTCTGCCTGCGTTCTTTTGCCTTATTCCGCCATTTTCTTCTTGCAATTGCTCTCTCTTCGGGTGTCATTTCGGCTACGGTTTTAATACCACCGATTTCTTTCTTTCTTAAATATTTTAATTTATCTTTCTCTTTCTGCATTTGGTACATTAATGGATCATTTTTTATTCTTTGATAACGTATTCTCGCTGCTAGACGCTTCTTTTCTAAATATTCTTCACGTGTCATTCTCCTGCCAGGAACTGTAACAATAACAGTGTGTTAGATAAAAAAAACAAGTAATCATGTCTAAAACATACCTTTTTAACACACCCGATGCCACCAAAACTCTAACGACTTTATTTTCATACAAAAAACATCATAGTAGCATGTAACGTGTTAAAAAGGGAATTCAAAACTCACACTAAATCCAAGGAATTTCATTTGTTTCTTAACATTTGCATGTTACATAAAGGTTTCGTAGGTTTCGTATTGACACATGTTGTTACTATTTGTTCAAAGAGAATGTGCAGGATAACAATATGTGTCAGTACAATTGTCAGTAGAAACAGTTACTGTGAAATTCCACTGCCCTTATTATATCGACAGTGGAAACGCAAAGTAACGGACTGTTTAGACGGTTTTTTTCCGTTTGGTCGATCGACTTTGCGATCAGTTAGTCCAATGGGAATTTTGTTTCCCATTGTGTCGATTGCTTTTATAAATTCGGTTCAATGGAAAAATTGCCGTATAGGCAAGTCACTAATAAAAAGTTTTTTTGCTGAATATACTATTTATTTATTTTTTTCTTTTTTTTTTACAGTTGAGTACAGTAACTGCGTAACTTATATTAATCTTCACTATATTTCCTACAGTTAATTTCCTTACGAAATTTGGAAATCTTTATAAGTAAATAACTACATAATTGAGTTTAAAGAATGACATAAATACATTTTTTACTAAACGACTTAAAACTTATTTCATGTATTCAGATCTACGTAACTCTTACATAATCATGACCACATTTCACATATTTAGGTGGCTCATGAACATGGTTGAAATTTGACAGTTCCCGTATAATATTTCCTTCTTCCAACCTCACCTTTGCCGGACATCTCACTTTGACAGAATTAGAAGAACACTGCCAGAAGTATGTAGTTTTCTTAGCATACGTAAAACCATGGTACAATATTAGATGATTGCCTTTTCTAGAACGAATTACTGCGTACTCTTTTTCTGTAATTTGTAATGTTACATAAATATAAAAACCCTTTTTAACTGCAGCTAATAGTTTCAAAGCCATGCCATATTTGAAAATACACTAACGTTCAAAGTCCAAATACATTATGAAAATCGGTAAGCTTTTGGTAAGTAAAAAAAAAATTAGGAATAATTTTTATTATAATATTAGGAGAAAAAAATATTTAGTGGTTTACATTATAAAACTAATAACATTTACATTATACTAACTATATTTAGGTAAATATTTGCAAATTAACATATTAGTGAATATTAAAACAGTACTTACAAAACTATTTTTTTAACATAAATAAACCAGCGCTTGACCACGACTCCACCTAAGCTAAGTGAAGACGCGGCCGAAGGATAGATATGTTTTGATATATTCTGTATTCCATCAAAGTTATTTTTAATAATAGTCAATACTAATATGATAAAGCGTAGACATACTTTGTGGCGTAAGATGTCAGCAATCACAGCATATTTTTGAATAACTATTTCTTTAATAAAAAGCCCGACGCTACGACACGCTTTAGGCTATATATTTTCACGTTGTTAAATTTAGGAGATAAATACAAAGGAAAAAACCTTCATGTGGGAAAGGGACCATAAAGTACAAGCTACCAACATTGAGGAAGCAAGGTTATTATGGTAACAGTAATTGTTATCCAATGTCAAAGGCCTTCGTTGTCATTTGTGCATTTGAATTTTGACATTTGCAATTAAAAATTTCACAAAAGTAAACAATAAAATAAAGTTTTTATAACTTCATGTGGATGTGATTACTATTTATATTAATTTAAAACAACAACATTGTTAGGAAAATATTAGGAAACGAAAGGAATAGTGGGGGTAGTTTTATAAAATACTTGGCAAGGGGTGACACAGCCCCTCAGTCGCTAACGAGCTCAGTAGTCGTTGCCACGGAACGTTCGATATCTTTGCGCGGTTGTCTTAGAGTTGAGTTAGTTTATTTTAAAGTAATTTATAAGTATTGTTATATGGCCGTCCGTCTACATTAAAAAAAATCATTTGTGTCGAAATATGTAACAATACATATACAAAAAATGCGTAAAACCAAAAAATAAGCGGTTATACGTCACAATTTGGATCTGAAATTATTGTCCAAACGGTAATGAGAAATTAAACATATGATGAAGAGAATTTTCAAAAAAATTGTGTAACTTATTTTAACTTTTTCGTACTCCTATGTTTTTTGGTGGGGCTGTTTCTTTTCTGTGCTGACAAGAACTTTATGCTTCTTTAAAATGCGTTTTTCACTCATAATAATTGTATTGTGATATCCTTTTATCAGTATTTGATTTTAGAGCTTTACAGGCGCCTTTTAATATCATTTCCATAGCCTCCCCAAATAATAAGTTCATAACTGTTATCATCATCCACATTGCCCTCATTCGTGGAAACTGGTATTATATATTCATCTGTTACTTCGTCATCTAAAACTGGTATAATATATTCATCTGTACTTTCCTTTTTTAAGAGTTTTCTCTGTTGGTATTTTCTATAATTTTCTCTCCATTTCTTTCTTTGTAATTCTCTAGCCAACGGGGTCATTTCAGAAACACTTAACACTCTTTTTTCTTTTTTTCTTTTTATGTATCTCTGCTTGTCTTTCTCTTTCTCTAAGGCATATAAAGCGGGATCTTCTTTTAGTTTTGCATATCTGTTTCGCCGTGCAAGTCGGGCTTTTGCTATTGCCTCTTCTTGTGACTGCTTCTTCCGCCGCCTTTTATCTGAAATATAAAATAATACCAAACAACTGCTCAAGGAGAAGGTTGACAGTAACAAAAAAAAGCGCAAAAAGTGCTATTTTGTGTTTTCTGCAATATGAAATTTGTATTGGTTTAGAAATTTAAGACTTCGGTTTATTTCATTTTTATTTTATTTTTTAAGTACAAACACAACATACATACACACTATATCCCAACAATTAGTTAGTTCACAGTCAACCATTAGGCTACAGGCGCTTCCTACCATAACATTTGTAGAATCTTTATATCTATTGTAACTTATATGTACAAATAGCTGTTACCCGCTACGCAGCAACGCAAATACATCATCTTTCCGAAATGTGGTATTTTACTATTGATATTACAAACAGACACTCCAAGTTTATTATATGTATAGATATATATTCAATTAATAAGCTCTAATCAAGTTAACAAAAATAAGATAAACAACATCTTCTATATTCGGATATACATTCCTTCATGTTTAACAAATTTCGGTGCATTATGATTGTGAGATATGTTCGACCTTGAGTCTACAATCTTTCTGTCTTTGATAAATATTTTAGCCGGACATCGGGTAGGTGGATATTTCGATGAACATTGCCATGTATTAACAGACTTTCTGCAGAAAGAATAACCTTTGTACAATATCGCTGGGTTTCCCCTCATCGAACGTATTATCTCAAAATCTGTGTCTGAAAGAGAGAATTTAACAAATTTACTTGTAGATATGAACTATGATCACAAAATTCGTATAGTAACTTTTATCCTTGAAATTTTGCTATTGTAATGTTTGTATTTGTGTCTGTTATTTTGAAGAGTATTTATGAGTTTGTGTCAATTTTTACGCAAATAATACATGTAACAAAAAAGGTTTCATTGTATTTTTAAAATTTCGAAAGAACAACAATTAGGTCTACGCAGTCATTAACATTATAAAAATAAGGGAAAACTTTGAAATCGTGTAAGCAATCATTAATTTCTTTTCTTTAATCTTTTAAGCTTCGTTTAAGAAAAGGAAGTTTGAGAGTAGCCCCAGTGGTTGAGAAAATAAGGAGTAAAAGGTTAGAGTGGTATGGGCATGTTATGAGAAGGGATGAATCGCATGTAACAAGAAGGATGTTAGTTATGAATGTAAAGGGGTATATCGGTAGAGGTAGACATAGAAAGAGATGGATGGATTGCGTGAAAGGTGACATGATCAAGAAGAGAGTGATGACTGAGATGATGGATGATAGAATGCTTTGGAGGACGAAAACCCGGTGCGCCGAACCTACGGGAGTAGGATAAGGCACGGGAGATGATGAATCTTTTAAGCTTCGTCTATTTTTGTGATTTCCTATTTAAAACTCTTATATATTGGTTATTTACAACGGCGTAGTGAGGTGGTTTATGTATATGTTGGAAATTGGATTTTGCAGGATTAATAGACGTTCCATCGAATTTGATCTTGGCCAAGCACTTATTTGTGCATGACCTGGAGGAACACGCCCACACATTTGCTGACACCTGGTTGTATGTGAAACCATCGCATAGTACCAGCTCTTTGCCATTACGGGAAGGAATCATCTTATAAGGAATACCTTAAACAAACAAACAATTGTTATCAACCATATTACTAGAACGACTCTGAGTAGGAGGAATGAAAGGAGGAGATAGAAATAAAACGACGATAACGCACAAAAACTTACAATTTATACTCTGATCGCTACAGCTCTTTGTGGCTGAATATAACTTGAATACTAAACCGTTAAAATGAGATCAATCAATTACAATGGACGGATCTAGTCAATTTTGTCAAGTTTGAAATGAGAAATTATAGAAAACCCATTAAAGCAATGTTACCTGTATAAAGCAGTAATCAATTAACGTATTTAAAACAGACATGCTTTTAATCAATGTAAAAACTAAAAGTTAAAAAAGAATACATAGACAAAAATGACAGTCAGGGACATATACATGTAAGTAAAACTTCTCATTTCCGTTGCCGTCGACTATGCCGATATAAGGGTGACAAAAAGAAATTCAAACTAACGTAAAAATTAGTGAATGTTAGATACAGTAAATTAAACTGGTAGATAGTTTAAATATAAAAAAAAAAAACTTAAATTCTAAATCTTAAAAAAATAATTAGATCTTTATTCTAGATCTTAGCCAAGTTTTAAACATTTTTTTTCAACTGTGTTGGTAAAATAAGTAAACAAATAAACACAAACCCAAATATAAATATAAAAAAATACTGGCGACATAAAAACACAGAGATTATTTAATAACAGTCCTACAGTTCCTGAAAGCGTCGAAAATCACTAAACTCTAATGTAATTGTCTCCCAAAGTCACAAAATTAGGCGCATTATGTGTATGTTCGAAATTTGAATATTCAGGGTCGATGTTATTGCCTCTAAATCTGATCTTGCCTGGACACTTCGCGTTGGTCCTGGACGAACATAGCCATACATGTGCTGACGACCTGGTATACGTATATCCTAGGCAGAGTATCAAATCTGTGCCAAAACGGGAAGAAATCTTCTTATATGGGATTCCTTAAACAAACATAATCATGTTAAGAGAAATGATCAAAGAAATCAAAATATAGAAGATAACTAAAACTTAATAATTAAGAAACAGATGGAAGGTTAAAATAAAAGATTTCAATGATTCAATTTCGATTCTTAGAAAGCATGGTTCTTGAAATATATCCATTATCTACCGAGCGAGCATGTACAAACATTCATTTTTTGAAGCGATTCAAGGCATTTTTGACATCCTTATAACTTCGTTGTGGATAAAGATAGAAAATTGAAAATTTAAACATGAATGGATATAACATATGCAATTAGTAATTGTAATAACACTGAACAAACGTGTTAATTAGCTCTAGAATATTCGACCATAAGTGGGAATTGAATATAATTTGTTATCCGCCTTTATAATATCTAAACTCTGATATATTTTCCATAGTGCTTATACAGTTTTGGTGGTGCGTGTGTATGTGTAAAGTTTGATAGCATCTCGTCAATAACACCTCCAACAAATTTGATTCTCGCATGGCACCCGCTGATCGTACATCTGGAGGAGCAAAGCCAGATATTTGTTGACGATTTGCAATACGTGAAACCTCGACACAATATCATTTTATTCCCCCTTCTAGTATCAATGATCTCGTATTGAATATACCCTAAAAAAGTAATTTTATTATTGTACAAATAAAATATATATTGGTACTCCTATACCATTGATGTTTTGCTGGTAACGTCGATGACGTCCAAATACAAGCACGTACTTGTAACTTGGCACTTCTGGAACATGTGTTCTCTTCTTACCGACGTGCCATCTAAAACTGCAGATCCTGTGTATTACTCGTATTCCAAGATGTTGCTGTCTTTGTTCTTTGTTTAATGACTGGATTTTTATATACTATTTCTACAAATTCAGTTTTTTTATTGTAATCAGATTAACGTATAAGGTAAATAAAATAAATGATGATGGGATGAAATAAAACATGATATAGAATAAAAATAAATTATTAAAAAAAATGTTATAAAATCAAATATTTTTCCAAAAAAAAATTAAGCTACAGAAAAACTTGATCGCCGTTAACATCTCGATAGAATTTTGGAGGGTTGTGGTTGTGTTTTAGATTGTAATATACGAGGTTACCAGCACAATCAAATCTCAACTTAGCCTTGCATTTTAAGGAGCCTTTTTTGCTACAGTTCCAGTAGCGGCCGTCACTCGTTGTCTGTGCAAACTTGTGTCTCTGTGCGATAAGCATACGATTCTTGCAGTTATACACGTGGACAAAGTCAAATTCAATCTTACCTGTAAATCAATTTTAATATTACAATGTGATGGCCGGTTTCCAACCTAATTTTAACCAGTCGTTAGCGTTTTTGGTTCGATAACTTCATGAAATGCGTTTCCGAACTACGTAATTTGAGTTTTGCTTTATTAAAACATAGGTCAATGTAACACTAATGAATCACTAGGTAACGATAAAATAAATAGAAACTTCAGTAACCCAGCATAAGACTTTTAAATGCTTTACGTCCTATCACTGTAAGATGTTAATTTTTAAATGTCGAATAATGAAATTATTAAAAACAAATCTGAAAATTACCTATTTATAATAATTACTGTTAATAAAAAGTATTAACAATGATTTCACAATTGTTCATTGTATTCCCTTTTGGCCTCGATTTATTATATAATATTTTGTTCTAGAATTCCCGGGGTTAAACAGTTTCGTTCATGACCACCAAGGTTCTAATGAGATAATGTCTAACATAACCCGAAAATGCAAGATGTTTTAATTTACCAAATTTTTTATTACTCATTCTAATTGTATGACTTTTCGAATATAACGAAAGGTAAATCTGTTAATCTGATTAAAAATATCTACAAAAAAATAAAATGTATATTTCATGCAATGTTAATCCAGAATAATTCATGTACCGTACAGGGGTGGACTTTCGCAAACATCTAAAAAATCATAACTGCAAAAATTCACTGCCGATGGTTTTCAATTAAAACTTTTACCTTTACATCGATGAATCAAGAACGGCTTTACCCACCTATGATCGAATAACGGCACCGATTAGTTTTGCAGGAAAACAAACACGCTGAAGATGGACACTTGAAAGGCTCTACCATAAACTAGTCGGTACATCGGACAATCGTGAGTTTAGTCGTTCTTAGTTATTTTAACTCTCACGATAAACTAGTTACTCTCACGATAAATTAGTTTTAAATTGCGCAAGACTATCGTTAAAAGAAGGCGCTGCCTCCTGAAACACAGTCATTACTAGCTCAGGAGACAGAGTCCCACAAACTGTACAAAACTGTTTTGGATCAATAAAGAATTTTTATTATTTATTACTTATTTAGTTACCTTTACTTTTAATTATTGTTTTTTACACACAATTGTTTCTGTGGAAATCCACACTTATTACCTCTAAACCTAACTCTTAATCGGACAATACATTTCATTGTCATATTTATAAAGCTTAGGCCGACAATGATTGTGCCCTAAATATATGATTTGTATACTTCCATCTTTCAGCTTTAATCTTGCTTGACACTTTTTTGAACCTCTCGAACTACAATACCAGATATCACGGACAGTTTTTTTAAAGGTATATCCGTTGACTAAAATTAGATGATTTTTCGTCGATTGTGGTGTTTTAATGAACTCAATTTTTAAATCTGAAAATGAAATCGTAATTAGTCTTTTACAGAAGCGCCTTTGTAAAAATACAAACAGGATAAATTCCTTAAACATTACTCGATGTAACTCGATGTATGTGTTAGTCCGCTTTATTTTCCATATAATAATAAATTCTACAACATCGCGGGCTCTCTTTAGCATCAAAAAGTTAACATAAACAATAGAGAAGTGCTTTGTCGATTATAATTATAAAAACTGTAACCATGGAATGTTTACTGTTGGGCCGATTCATTGATCCGGATTCAATCGACCCAATAAGAAAAGAAATCCTATTTGGTAATATCACTCTTAAGGTGACAATAAGGTCGGTTTTATTTATTTTATTTCATTTATTTAGATTAGAAAATGCTATAGCACATGTTATAGAATAGTATTTTTTTAATTCTCATTTACCACCCACTCTCTATAACGTCGCAATACTCGATCGAATGCAACGTTATACGGAGTTTACACTACTGTTACATAAAGCGAGAACATCCAATGCACGCGTTCTAAATAGAGTATTTCAGAAAGCCGACGTGAAATGGAGATTAAAACAGCAAATTGCTACATGAATGGCACAATTACATTCACTACTTCATTCAGGTCTTGATCCTGTAATATGTTCCATTATCATTTTTGAAAAATCTCGGCTTACTATGATTATGTTCTAATTCCGCGGTCTGAATTTGTCCGTCAACAATCTTTGTTCTTGCCTTACAATTCCTCGAGCCCCGTGAACTGCAGTACCAAAAATTGCATTTGGACTTCGATAGGAAAGAATACCCGTTTACTAGAAGTACACGATTTTTCCTCGTGTTTCTTGTTTTAATAAACTCATACTTTACATCTGAAAGAACTTTCGAATTAGTCGATAGATAATCAATTTTTTATTAATCAACATTCATTTTTTTGTTTTACTATGAATAAAAGAAACATCTGAAAAAGAATTTCTACTCCAACACAAGTTTGATGTAAACACAACATGAAAAGGTGTTCAAAACAATAAAAAATTTTCCACAAATGCTAAACAAACTTTATTTTTTTTCTCGTCAAAACGTACCGATGCGATATTAGTTAGTATTATTTTTTTTTTCATAATAGTAAAACATACAATTATGTACTTTTGAATACATCTATTCATAAAGCCTCCTGTAATACAGGTCCCCACCTAGCTCAGGAGGCAGAGCCCAATGATTATTGTTCAACTTATTGTATTAATAAAGTGTTTTTATTTTTTATTTATAAAGGTGAGAATTTTTTCTAAACGACAATGATTTTTTTAACAAGAAGCATCCTACAAAGTGTTCTCAAACATACATTAATTTATAATGAAATAGATATTATAATTATAAGAAAATTTAAATTTGTTGTCGTCATGGTTCCATCCACAGTCTATTTATAAGTGCTTGTCGGAATTCCTCTCCTTCTAGCAGTGCTCGACTTGGACTACCGTTTCCTTCCAAAGCCATTTCCAGTTCATTTAAACATACATCCTGTATCACACATTAGTACAATTTAAAAATGTTATATACATTAAGGGCCTGTCCCACCACTGGCTGATAAAGGCTCAGATAACTGAAAAGTGACGTCACAGCCAAGCAAAGTACCAAAATCAGATATTTCTGATGATGATAGCATTCTATGCGTTCAATTGTTATCTGACAACTTACAAGAATTGGAGGACAGGCAAAAAATATTTAAAATTAACTAAATCTGATGAAAAGTTTGTTGTCAGTTAAAATTCACTTCGACTCGGCTTTTAAAGTTTTTTAATGTATTTTTAACGTAACTATGTCAAAGATGTCTAAAATTATGACATTTTTATCTTGTTGATGATTTAAACAATAAAATAATCATACTTATTCTTAACTCTTATTTATATTTTACATGGATGAATGGATGTTTGTTAAAGTTTGTAGCCTAAACTGCTGAACGGATTTCCATGAAATTTGGCATAGTTGTAGAGCACAGTCTGGTAGGTAGGTAGTCATGTAGGCTACTTTCTTTTGTTTTTTTTTCTTAAAAATTTCACGCAGGTAGAATCGCGCGCGAAAGCTAGTACTTTCATAAGTTAAAATGCCTATCTTTCGAATAGGATAGAACAGGCCGCTAGTATAATACCGAATGGTAACAAATAACATACCTGAGGCGTGCGTAATTTTTCTGTTCTTATTTCCTCCAACGTCATCTCAGGTACTGGGGAGTTTGCCTCGTTAGCAATGTTGTGCAAAATACAACAGGCTTTTACAATTTTGCTCGCAACTGCGGGACTGTAATGTAGAGATCGCGCTAGAAGCAAACACCTGAAAATATCAAGTATCTTACTAATCTTATTTCTTACTAATGACATAAATACGAAAATATAGATGGATCGATGGATGTTTGTTAAGTTTGTAGCCTAAACGATTGAACGGATCCCGATAAAATTTGGCATAGATGTAGGGTATAATCTGGAAAAACACATACGTGATGGACATATCGGATTTTGTTCCCTAATCTGACAGTGACGTAATTTTTAAGCTATGTGAGGCTCTATCAGCCAGTGGTGGGACAGGCCCTTAGTCTTTGTATCCCGCTTTTAAACCCGAATTTAATTTTTTGGGCTAAAACTTGTTCTTTAATTACAAAATACGTTCGGAATTTCGTTATCACTTTATAATATTAACGTAATAATAAAATATTTACCTGAAACGTGATTTTAAATCGCTAATACATCGTTCAATCGTACTATGAGCTGCAGCATGCAGTAAATAATATGCATGTTCTGGAGTCCCTTCTCTTGTATTTAATATCGGTGTCATCATTGTTCTTCTAAGCGGATATGCACAATCACCTTAAAAATATCAAATTAACTATAGAGAAAACACTCACTGAATAATCGGCGGCTCAGTGGTTTAAGCACTTGACTTGTAATCAATCTACAGGTCTTGGATTCCAATCCCGCCGTGTACCAATGTGATTTTCGATTTATCAAATTTTCAATTGTACATAATTTACCCGACGTTCTTACGGTGAAGGAAAACATCGTGATGCAATCTACACATATCGGTGAAGAAATTCAAAGATTCGGTCAACCAACCCGCACTGGGCCAGCGTGGTTGACCATGGCCTAGTCACCCCTTACATAGGGTAGGCTCCGAGCCCCTCGGTGGGGACTTATAGTGAGCTGGTGATGATGATGATGATAATGGATAATCAACTATAGGCTAAACTTCTAAAGCTAAAGACTTGTAGAAATATTCCTGTTATACTTTTGGCAGCAAAAAGAATGACTTCTAAACCCTTACCATTAAAATCTAAAAGTTAGATGGTTTAATGGACGAATTTTCTCGACAGTATGAATAAACAAATAGTTTTCATTCAAAATGACTTAAGTAGCAATTTAGGATTTATAGAAAATCTCCACGCGATCAAACTAAATTTTAAAAAGTCAAATACCTAATTATTTTACGGCTCTTACTCAAGTCACACATTTTTCCGGTGACGGCACCGACTAGTTTCAGACTTCAGGGCGAGGGTTAATGGTGTGTCGCGGTCGCGTCACGCCTCTAACTCGCGAGCGAAAAAAGTATGACGTGAGTAAGCCGTAAAATTATTAGTTATAAAATGTCTCAGGAAAGTTTAAATAATTTAGTCAAATACCTAATAAAAATCCTTGTTCACCTTCATCGTGAAGTTGATTCAACTCCTTGCACAATATATTATTCTCCCATACAATTGAATCATGCGTGGATCCCGGACTACTTGAATTCGTACATAGAATATTTAAATCAGAATCGCAAACCTGAAAATTAAACCATTAATGTAACAAAAAGGTAATTATTTACTCAATGTACGGAAATTCATGCGAATGAAGTCGCAGGGCAACAGCTAGTTACTACAATAATTGTACTTAGATACTTACAATCATGAGCTATCGTGAGGTAGTGGTTGTATTATTAAGAATAAGAATAAATGTGTCGTGTTTGCAAGAACCGAAATGGAAAGGTAAAAAGGGAGTGATGACTGAGATAACGTATGAAAGTTATGTGGAGGACAAAAACCTTGCGCCACTACGGGAGTAGGATAAGGAGGAAGTTGATACTTACAATCATGACATTGATAGATTGAGATCCCTTAACATTATTATATAATTGACTATTATATGAGGGTTTTAGTATAGCCACATGTGTGCCGTCTATACAACCTAGGACACCAGGGATTTTGAATTTGTTACAGAACCTGAAAATTAAATAAATAAGTAACCTTATTGATTTCTTCTTTAGGCAGGGACTGATGTCCAAACTAGAACGGTACCCTGTGTGATGGATCACCAGGCTCTCGCCCCCACAGACCACAAATAACAAAACATTATTAATTTTACTAATTAGTAATAACAATATTGTTCTGAACTTAATTGAAAATGTAGAAAGTTACAATATATCTCTAATTTCAGTATGTCTCTTGACATAGGCCTCCTCTATACATTTTCATCGTTTTCTGTCGTGCGCAACTCTCCTTCAATTTTACTTATTAACAGACATTAAATCATTTTAAGAAAAAAAAAGTCAACTGTGTGGTATTGGTGAATGTAATTGGTGGTGTTTAGTTAATCAAATATTTTATACTACGTGTAAAACTTACTTGGCTTTGATAAGTAGCCTCTCACTGCGTTGGGTGGGCCATTTGACATATTTGTGATAGATTTGATCAAATGCCTCTGTGACTTGCTTTACTGCTCTAGATACGGTAGCCTGTGATACATTGTGAACAGGGCTCTTACTCACTAGCGTTTGTATTGAGCCCGAGGCGTAAAACGCCAGCGTTATGAGAATCTGCAATAAAGGTAAACCAATTAGCTAATTACTAACAAATAGAGAGGAGTGTGAGCTGCTTTTTCAAGAGTTGGAGATCAACCCGGCTGATGTTGGCATTATAATTTCAGTATTAGATGATCCGACTACCGACGCGGCTGTACGATTATGCCAGCTCGTTACCTAATTTCTAAGAGTAGCCCTATAATATATAATAATGTATAATTCCATAGGGGATTGGCATATGTTTTTAAAAATAAATATCCCCCTCCTCCTAAAAAAGATTAAAATAAAATAATCACATAATGATACCACAGATAAAGGAACAAGAAAATAATTAGTCAAGGGGTAAATTTTTACAATCATAGCAACAAAAGCAATAGAAAAGTTTTTAACCTTTGCAGTAAGGGGTACGCCATCACTTCGACGTGGATTTGGAATCAATGGGCGAAGTTCTTCGATAAGCTCCTTCACAATGTTTCTCTTGAGATGGAATATTTGCATAAACTCGTCATCGGATAAATCGGGCAAGGGTTCTGAGTTTTCTTTCATCAGATCACGGGTCGGCCGGCATGTCACAATCTTGACAATACGTGGGAGACACATGTCTGCTAAGCCTGAAACATAACTCTTTTATTGCCGATTACAATTCGCAATTTGATAAAGGAAAACGAAAACGTTTTAGTTATAAAAGTCATAGATTCCCTTTAACATAGAAATTATATCCAAACAATTTTTAAGGTTTGAAATAAAAAAAACATTGTGACATTGAAGTATCATAGCTACGTACATACTCATTATATTTGCTTTATTATTTCTGCAACAAACAGCCAAAGAACATTCCACTTTAGGGTCATTTATACACATCTGTACATTCATTTATACAAATAACTGTTTAAACTTTCGTGAGACATTATCTTAAATGAATTTAAAACAGCTCAAACTCACGTATGATCTTCCGGTAACGACACCGACTAGTTTCTTCTTGAAGGCGGACCCCCGACGGGTTTTTCATACATTTAACCTCAAAGTTTGTTAACAACTTTCATACTTAATCAAAATACATAGAGCGAATGTTGTGGGCAATAGGAGGAAAAAAGAAGAAAGCCCTTGGGTCCCTTTTCTTCTATTTAATTTAGCTACATAGCTTTTATTATCTATCATACTGTTTTTATTTGGATCAAGAAACATCTAAAGATCGATTAAAGCGGATCTGACTAGAAAAACTAAATTTATTTATAAACATAACCTCCTTTTGGGAAGTCTGTTAATCAAATTTAACAACATTACAAAATAAATTATAATTCGATGCTAAGCATGCTATTAATTACCTAACAAACAATAACAATATGTAACAAAGAAACGATAGAAACACTTAAAAACTAATCACAGTTGTAACAACCTCTGTAAACTCTATGCCAATCTTAAAGACGGATGGTTCTGATAGTTTTCACTGAACATTCCAAATTAGTTAAAACTGTATGTGTGTAGGCAAAACTTGAACTGAACGGTCTATTTTAGTTAAAATTCTACGTGTGTAGGCAAAATTTGAACTGAACGGTCCAATTTAGTTAAAACTGTATATGTGCAGGCAAAACTTCAACTGAACGGTCCAATTTAGTGAAAACTTGTATGTATGTAGGCAAAACTTGAACTGAACGGTCCAATTTAGTTAAAACTGTATGTGTAGGCAAAACATTAACTGTCAAATCGATAATTTTGCCTATTGACTCGCAGTTTTACCTAAACAAATCTTCTGAACAATATGGATATGACAATAAGGAGCCTAATAGCCCTTGAATTTAAATAATTTTTATTAAGTTTGATCAACAAAACAGCTAAAACTTTTTGTACTTCAAACATACTTCCACTCCCGACTGTACGTTCCATTTGGGTTTTTAACAAATTTGGGAGGGCCGTGGTTGTGTGTCGATTTATGGAGGACGAGTTTGCCGTTGCTGTTGAATGTAACTTTTGCTGTACAATCCAACTTTTTTCTGGAACTGCAGTAATAAATACCGGTAGCGCATTTACTAAACGAATATCCATTTACTATTGCTAACGGATTCTTTAATGCGTAAGTTGTTCTTATAAATTTATAATCTACACCTAAAAAAACATATCAATTTAAATGAAATATTTATAAAAACGTTTTTAGAAAGGTTTGCTTAAATATTTTTATATACTTTAATACGTTTCTTGCCACTAAGATTAAAAAGCAGTCAGCAGCACTGGACGTGTTTAAAAATACTCCGGAATTACTTTTAAAAAAATCATGCGGTTTTTCTGGCGAAAAAATATTGAGCAGCATTTAAAAAAAGGAGTTATTCAAATTAAATATAATTTAAAGCATTATAAATATAATACCATAGATAATAAAATGTAACAAGTAAATATAAAAAATAATTCACATGCAGAATAATATCATTTCTCTTAAATATCTCATCATATTTTACAAAAGTAGGTTTTAAAAAATATTAATAAAGTCACTTTGCTGTATACCTAGTTTTATACACAATAAAACAATACTCTAATATGACTAGAAAGTGCCTATAATCATTGCGTTGCGTTAAATGTGATATTTGCAAATACGCGTGGACCGAGACCATTTTAAATATTTTATCAATTCTTCATTCATAAATCCTGTCCTTCGGTTGCCTTTAATACCGCCCTTTATTACCTCAATAATTTGATCTATGTCGTTTCTCGAACATTCCATTTCCCTTAGACACCTTCATTTACTGGTTTCGATAAACACTGCTGCTCAATTCTGAACTTTATTTCTCGCAACCTTAAGTACACATTTCCAGTTCTTGCATATTGCACTTTGGGAATCATCTAGGTTTCTACAATCTATATTTTAATATATTTGCCTGTGATGTCTCTATAGAACTGCGGAGGTGCATGGTTATGCTTCAGCTCGTAGTGTACTAACATTCCTCGTCCGTTAAAACGCAGTTTCGCTGAGCATTTGGTAGATAATTTCTTACTACAATTCCAATATCTGCTGTCACTCGTCGTTTGAGCAAACATATAGTTCTGCACAATCAACATACGTTTCTTGCAGTTAGTCGGTGTGATGAACTCCATATGTATACCTGGAATTCAATTTAATTGTAAAGAATTATCTATTAACTAGCTTTCGCCCGCGACTCCGTCCGCGCGGAATAAAAAGAAACAAAAGCAAGTAGCCTATGTGTTCTTCCAGACTATCATCTATATCTATCCCAAATACCATGGAGATCTCTTCAGCCGTTTAGGCTACAAACTCTAACAAACTCTCATCCATCCTTCTATCCTTCCATCCATCCATCCATCTAAACTTTCGCATTTATAATATTGGTAAAAAGTAAGATAAGATAAGATTTATACCTTCTTAAGCTCTTGATAGGACTGGACGGAAATCTGTACGTCCACGTTCGATACCCGCCATTTACCGATGTGTTTTTGATATTTTAAAATTTCATATGTACATTTATCTCACGTTCTTACGATGAAGGACAACATGGTGATGCGACTTACACATATGGTCGAAAAAATTTAAAGATATGTGTGAAGACTCTGGATTGATGACTATAGCCTACACATCCCTAACTCAGCTAGGTTTTGTGCTTCTCAGGGAAAACATATTGTAACTCATATACAAGACATTCTCCCAGGACACACCAACAGTATTTCCAAAAACTTATTAATGTGCTTAGTTTTTATTACTTGACCACAAATTGCAGCTAATTTTAAATGTTACAAAGTAGATCAGTAGTTGACATATTTTTAAACATCGCAAGTAATATTTACTAAGTTATGAATCAGACAGCAGGTGACTGAATTGCCTAATTTTCAAATATCCCATCTTAAAAATAAATACTATTTACATAATATTTACATAATTATAAAACATAATATAAATAAAAATGCGACTGTAGCTTTAATACACTAAAACTTATGATTTTAATATAATCAAGAGTTTCCACTGTCAAAACATCTGGGCAAAAATAGATCATTAGAATAGGCAGACATGGCAACATTTTCTACTGGTGTTTTGGCAGTAGACCACAGTAACATGTACATAGTAGTTTCTACTTTTATAAATGCCTACCATCATAAGAAGAATTGAAAAAATTACATATGTTTAAGTGTCGGCAATACACAATTTTCTTTTTAATTTAGTCGAGCATATGTCCCATCTCTATTTTTATGGAATTTCGGTGCAGTATGGTTATGATTTAGATTACAAGATTTAATTTTCCCGTCGGGCCATAATATTATTTTCGATGTACATTTTCTGCTCACTCGGGAACAACAGTACCAGCAATTTTCTTTACTGATGGCAAACGAATAACCATTCACCAGCGCCAAATGATTCTTCTTAGACTTTCTCGTTCTAATAAATGTACATTTTAATACTGAAACAAAAATGAAATTTAAATGTTATTTAATAAATTACAACAGATATACCTAAAGATGGGGACATAAACCAGAAAGTGTTAAGAATGAATGTGGATGACTACAAGGGAAGAGAAAGACCGAAGAAAGTGTAGATGGATTGTGTGAAAGAGGATATGCTTAATAAAGGAGTGGATTCAGATTGACGGCTGATAGAGATGTATGGAAGAGCAGCATATACTGTGCCGACCCTCCTTAAGGCATAAGGGCAAGTTGATGATGATACCTAGGCATGGGTAGCACTAAAATTAATGACCGGCAAATCAGCTAATAGTTCAAAGATTAGTGAACCGTAGCTCGGCTTAATAAGTACCTGCACAGAGTAATGATTTGCATCTCGAGCACAAACTGCTAGTCGCGTTGACCCGTGAGCTGTAAATTTAGTTTGTGAGCTGCAACTCAAGGTTCAAGTGATCTAAACTTTTGAGCTGGTTCAGAGCTGATTTACCCACTAGATGTGACTAAAGTAGGAGAAGCTAATCTGGTGCGCTAAGATGTGGTGTTAATGCATTTAGATATGTTAGCAAATATGTGAAATCTATAGGCATTAAATTACATATTAGGAATACAAGATAGCTACAGTACAACATAGATGTGAAATATTTTTGATAAAAGGCGTCATTACTAGTGAACAAAATTTTGTTTGGAGTTTGCACATCAGGTCATGACTTCGTACACAAATATATCATGTAAATAAGAAGTGTGGGTAATTACTGCCTTTATTAAAAAACAAACAACTTACATACATTGGTTTGTAGTTTGTACCTGTTGTACTTACTTACATTTCAAATTAGAAAATTATAATAGCAATAAAAACGTACATTAAACGTAGTTTTTTTAATATGAATTAGAGAAATAATTACGAAAACGTGTCCACAAACTATTTAATATAATTAAAAAAAATCTGTTGTTTTTTTTATTTTTAAATCAACTATTTTTTCTAATGTATGGTAACACTAGCCTATCCCAATATATCTGGGTGGTTATGGTCTATCGAATAATGTATTATTTCTCCGTCCCATATCTTGATTTTTGCGGTGCATCGGGTTGTCGACTTCTTGGAACAGTAGTATAAAACACGGCTATTGCCCCGTATTGTGAATGTATTGTTTCTGAATACTATTATATTTTTGCCCTTGCCCGAAGGTACGGTTACATAAGTTTTATCTTCTTCTGAAATATACAAAATCATATTATATTAATTACAAAACACGGGTAAACTTACCTGATACAATTGTTAAAATCTCTCAACCTGAAGGACCACTGGCGTTTTTTTTTGTGACTGAGTTGTAACTGTTTGCCTTGAAGAGGCATTTACAGCTCCACCGGGCTTGAGGTGGTTGAACACGGATAGCGGTCAGCCTAAACCTCGTTTATGAGTAACTAAGCTCGAGGGCTCGCTCAGGAGTCTCACGAGCCGTTACTTCGTTATTATTACAGGATTGGGTCCACTGACCGATGAAAAAATTTTGTTCTACATTTGCCCATGTCCATTTAAATCATGTAAATATGACGGGTGTATAATTACTGCTTTTATTACAATTGTGTAATATTTGTATTCAAACACGAGTAAAGTATATGTGTAATCCGATTGCCATACAAATTATTGATAATAACTTACATACATTTTGTACCTGTTGTACTTACATTACAAATTGCAACTTTGTTATAGCAATAATAATGTACATAGTGTTTTTAATATAATTTAAAGAAACAATTACTAACGAGTCCTTAACCTATATAATTTTGAAATATAGTTTTATAAAAATCTGTTTTTTTAAAATCAACAATTTTTTACTAATGTACCGCTAGCCCTTTTCAATATATCTGGGTGATTATGGTCTATCGAATAATATATTATTTCTCCGTCCCATAGCTTGATTTTTGCGGTGCATCGAGTTGTCGACTTTTTGGAACAGTAGTACATGTCACGGCTACTGCCTTTTAATGTGAATGTATTGTTTCTAAAGATTATCACATTATTGCCCTTTCCCGAAGGTACGGTTACATAAGTTTTATCTTCTTCTGAAATATACAAAATCACGTTTATTAAAACACGGCTACTCACCCGATACAATGATTTAAATCTCTCAACCTGAAGGACCACCGACGGGTCCGAAACTGGTCATCGCCTAGCCTAGTTACACTGAATATATCACATGAATTTAGCTGTATTTTCTTAATAATATATACTAATATAATAAAGCGTAAACACACACTACTTTATGGCGTAAGATGTCAACAATCAGAGATAATTTGAATAATTCTTTCTTTAATAAAAATGTAGGGATTTTACTTACGTCACGCTTTAGGCTATATATTTTCGCCATTAAGCTTAGGCGGTAAATATTTTGGATAAAAACTCCAATGTAGGTTATGAACCATAAATTACAAGCTGCCAACATCAAGGAAGCAAGGTTGTTATTTATGCATTTGAATTTTGAATTTGACAAATATAATTGATAAAATAAAGTACTTATAATCTCATGCGAATGAAGCCGCACGAAAACAGCTAGTAAATGATAAAGACACAGTTCTTTGTCTTTTAAGAAGTCAGCAATCACAGCATATGTTTAAAGAAATCTTTTTAATAAAAAGTCCCACACTTACGACATTCTATAGACTATTTTTCATGCTTTTTAATATAGGGGTGAGTAATTCTACAAGCCAATAGCAGCAAAGTAAGATTGCTTGGTAACGGTTAATGTTAGCCTATGAAAAAGGCCTTTATTGTCATATGTACATTTGAATTTTGACATTTGCAATTTAATCTTTTACAAATGTAAAAAAAAATAAAGTTTTTATAATAACTTATGGGTGAAACCGCACGGGAGCAGTGAAAGTTTAAATAAAATCATTTCTATTAATATTATCATACCTTTATTTTAATTAATCTAAATTATTATAACATTTATACCAAAGATACATTTTTTTTAAATAAAATATTAGTAGATTTTTATTAATTTACTAATATTTCCTTTAACCATTCCTACTAAGCTTTAGGCTTGTGCTAGGATATGGTTCACAATAGTCGAATGGCAGGATTCGAACCCTCGACCACAAGATCCGTACCCCAAACCATTAAGCTATTGGCGCTTATTTTATATTTTATAAATAGATCCATCTTGACCACGCAGCAGGCTGGGCGGCGGATGATTATGGCAGTTGTCATAACAGACGATTACGTCATTTCGCAGTCCGACCTTGGATTTGCATCTCAATGTTGATTTTTTGGAACAGTAGAACATTGATTCATTTCTACCCTGCACTGAATACGTGTGTCCTTCTAACAATATCATCTTTCTCTTTCCTTTACCCGAGATAACGTATTCAAATTTTAAATCTGAAATCAATGACAGTTAAAAAGGGAATATTAATATACGTTCATAGTTGAATATTAATTTTCAAATTTAAGCCCACAAGACATCCCCAAACTTAGTTTTAACTGTACAGTTAAAACGGAATTTGGGTAGGTAAAACTGTGAACTATTAGCCATTACGTTTTTTTTGACAGTTTCGAGAATGTATTGGTAACTCTATAGACAAATTTTGTTTGAGAATTGTTTCTGTACTTATATACTCATATAATACACAAATCTAAAACAAATTTTATCGATGATATTACGAAAATATTTTCACAAATATTCATGATAAGCCCTCTACGGTTCCTGTGCAGTACGGTTTAGTACTGTACAGTTACTGTGTTCAGTTTTAACTATAATGTTAGACATTAGTTACAACTGAAGGTATAGTGAGCATTAGTATACCTTGTTACAGTATTATAAAAAAAAAAAACAGTTTTATTATTCTCGATAAACTTTTATTATTACCCATGCGTATTAATCATAAAACCATACTTTTAAGCATACATTTAATACAAATAAATATTAAATAAAACAATCTTGCTTGTTACTGTCGGTCACCATATACATATACGAGTATCTTTTTCATTCGCTCTATAGCTTTTCAACCTACAATACTAACGGGAAAAATTACTTAAATATTTGCATGAAATATTAATAAAACGCGAATTCATAATTAAACGATTACACAGTATATTATAGAACAAATTACGTATATACACTACTAGCTTTCGCCCGCGACTCCGTCCGCGTGGTATTAAAAAAAACAAAACCAAGTAGCCTATGTGTTCTTCCAGATTATCCTCTACATCTGTGCCAAATTTCATTGAGATCCGATCAGTGGTTTAGGCTACAAACTCTAACAAACATCCATCCATCTAAACTATCGCATTTATAATATTAGTAAGAAGTAAGAATTAAATTAATTTCTTGTAATTTATTCTATACTAGTTTTGCTACTTTAAACATATTTATTTGTAAGATGTACTTGAAAGGATTTTTTTAGCATTAGCTCCTTAAACACAGGTTAACCTAGTTAACCCATAATTTGATATCTTTTTCATTTATATTTATATCCAAAACTGTATATACTATAATATACTTTTTGACATTTCACCTTGACAGGTGATATTGACTAACTATTGACAATAATATAATTTATTAAATAAATAAACTTATTATTTATATTGTCACGTAGAGCCCATTCGGGCATTCTATGTATTTCTTAGGAGGGTGATTATGGGTAGCGTCAATAAAGTTTATAGTGTTATCTGGTAAAATATGTAGCTTTGCGTTGCATTTCATGCTGAAACTCTGCGAACATTTCAGGTACTTCTTACCGGGGCCCGTATACGCGTAGGGGTAGCCATTGATTAGTACAACCGACCTCTTGTTCCCTAATGGTAATATTTTGTATGAAACTGTAAAACAAACGACAAACATCAATTTTTAGGACTATTTCCAACCGTCACCCCGCTCTGTCCCCAAGTGGGGACAGATGAGAATAAAAGGTTTCATCCGTCCTAGATTTTGCAACGCGGGGACGGTTGAAACTTATTTTAGTTCTTAATGGTTCCATCCTTCCCCTTATGATAGTGGGACGATTAGAACTTTTTATTTCTTGTTTGTCCCCACGAAATTTAATATACAAAAATAAATAGCAATAGTAAAAGACTAGCTGTTTTTATTTCTCGTTTATTTGTTTATTGAAATGTATTTTATTCATTTACATTGCGTCACTCCGTTTTCTGTATAAGGAGGTCTTAACATTTTTAAATTTAGGAATTTTTCTTATTAAATTCAGACCATCGTCGTTCAAAGAAGATAAGGCTTCTTTGTAAATTGTTGGTATACTTTTATATGCTTGAGATTTGGAAACAACTTGTTTGACTTCATGTAATTTTTTATCAATCATATTTTTGGCAAAATCAGGGGCATGTGAGTGTACATTTTCCTTAATTATAGCATTATTCTGTAACAAAATCAGAATAAGGATTTTATTGAAAAGTTTTTTTTTACCAGAAATATGGTGAAGAAAATGCCCTTCAAGAACTTTTAAACATAAACTAGAAAAAAAAAGTATTTTAATTAAAAAAAAATCTATTAAAAAAGGGTATAAGTATATAATTTTTATTACCAGAACGCTTACTGATCCTCGACAACGTTGCCTTCTTTGGTTACACTCATAAATAGTAACTCCATTCTTCAAAATCTTCTTTTTATAATACTGGTGACCGGCGTATAAAAGCACCTGACCACCATTTCTATTTACAAAAGACACTTCGATGCTTCCTGTAGCAGAGGTAGTAGTTCCTTTTAAGCCCGACATATCTTCATAATCTGAAAATTAATTAAGGTGCTGAATAACTGTTCTATAGCGTATAATAATTTGCATTAAAACATTTCAACAAGTGCCAAAAATCGCGTAATGAACGAATTAACACACAAAATTATCTGATTTTCTTTATTTATTTGGCTTTACATATATTCCATACAATTACATTTTTTTTGTTTATTATAGATTTAAGTATTGTTTATTTATAATATTTGTACGGATTCCTGATGAGTAAAAGCATCCAACTTTGACCAGTGCCCTCTGTCCTTCGCCAAATCCTGCCATCCCGCACCCGCCACTGCCGCGATCTCGTCTGACCATCTCGCGCACGGCTGCTCTCTCGCTCTGGTGCGTTGTGGTCCCACCCATCGGGTTACCTTATGTGTCCCTCTATTGTCAACCTGTCTAGCTAAGTGGCCTATTTAATTCTAAGCGAGAAACTAAGTGCATCGGTTACTTCTGTGTTTTTTTTCTATTGTATACGTTCTTTACACTGTCTTTCAATTATAAACCTAATCTGAATATACCTCCAGTAGCCGGTGGGTACGCATAAATATATCATGGTTGTAGTTAGAAGCTTTCATTATATACGATTTTTCTACTCATATGGTTTAAGCGTGGGCTTAACACAAGACGCTGTTCCATATTTAAATTTTAGCCATTAGTCGTAATTACAAAAAATATGTACTATTTAATTTTGACAAAGAGTACATTTTATTTAAACCCCTGGAAGATTATCAATTTGAATAATATCAGCAATTTTATTGTAATTATTAAAAAATATATCTTTTAAATTTTAATTAACATTTGTAATTAATTTTGATATAAATTCCTTTATTAGTTTTGCAATAGACTGGTGGCGGGTGATTGTGTTCGCCGCTAGCTGTGAGTATATTGCCGAATGCATCCACTTTCAGCCTAGCCTGACACTTCCCTCTTCCTTTCTTCGAGCACTTTAAGTAAGTTTCCCCTCTTCCATTAAACGAAAATGTGTACTTTCTATACATTATAATTTCTTTGCCGCCGGTGGTTGGTAAATATTGAATCCGATCTATAAAATAACTTAATTAAATATGTAATATTAAACCTTAGTTGATATATTGTACTCGTTTTGACCACAACTTCGTTCACGAAGAATTGAACATAAAATTTGAAATTTAATCAAAACTATTATATACTAGACTAAACTATATCCTATATGTGTGAGCTAATGTATAGTTATATCGAATAAGTGAATTAATATGACGATAAATTAAAAACGATGTACTTCGAAAAGCGAAAATAACGCTGACTTATCGTTAAAAAAAAAACAAAATAACTTCAAAAACTTTAATTCACAAAAAACTGAAACAATGAAATTATTCTACAAACTTAATATTACATCAAACGATAAATTATATAACACTTTAATTTCAACAAAACAGATTTTTTAAATAATCAAGATAGATTTGTAAATAAAAAAAAAACATTTCTAAATCTATAAATCTTTGAATATTCTAAAAATTTTCTACGAAGTCTCACTTCACCTTCAACCCCTAATTCGAGTGTCCATTGTGACGAATAAAAAAAACTACTAAACTTATTTAGTAAAAAGCGTGAGATTTTAATTTTAGTGTGTTGGTAACAGATATTTTTTTTGTTACAAAGTCCGTCGAATTAAGGGTTAAGAGTACTAGATACTATGATAGTAAAAGGGTCGGAACGTGGAACACCAGCTGATGGTCTAGAAATTGGTAGCAAGCCGGTAATCAAGAAGGGTGCAGGTAGTACATATTCTTTTTTTTATTCCAGAGAGAATGCAATGTACATTTTTTTATGAACACAAGTAGTTTTTTGACTAAAAACTCAATAATAACTTGTATTTAGGATTATATGCAAACGAAAGAAAAAATCAATTTAGATTTAAGTCATAAATAGAACACAAGCGCCGCCAAGCGACTTTCTAGAGAAGTTAAATCATTCTGAAAATAGAGAACATTGCGAGGGCAATGTTTGTACTATCTAAGCTTTGTAAATCCATGATATCCTGACTAAGAAGTATTATGAGTGTATTCCTTGAATCCAACTTCACCCATGACCGCCCACATATGCTCACGAGTAGTAGTAATTCTGATAGCGTGCTCCCTCAAGCTGTTATATATTTCACAGTTCTCGAGTCTAGACCCGCCCTTCCTGACCGTCCCTAGCAAACACCCATGGGTTGGAATTAAATAAGTTTATGGTATACATTACGAGCGTAAATGCTTTTTATAAGTCTAGGAGGCGCATGATTATGATAAATATTGCCACTAAGAATAGTTTTCGTGAGGTTGTCAAGTTTCAGCTTAGCAGGACACTTCGTAGTTATCTTTTTGGAACAATAAGCGTACCGCTTTATTTTCTTCGAATGATAGGAGAATGTGTATTTCCGGAACATTATTAACGTCGTATCATTTCCAGTTTTTATTTCTTCGTAATGAAAATCTAAAAGAAAGAATAACATTTAATATGAAAGGAATTAGACCAATTAGACTGTTGGATAGCTAGTATAAACATATGATTCTTTTGATACAATATAAAAGGCGATAACATTTTTAAATACAGGATATCAGTTAGTTGGAGACATTTAAACTACGAGTACAAAATAATTTAAGACACTTGGATAATACAGGGGTATGAAGTTTAATAAATTATTTAAATACTACAATCGACGAATCTGCAAAAATACACAATATAATAGAAAACTTATTCTATTTATTATACCATTTATAGTACAGAATATACATTTACTTCTTAAATATAGAATTTAAGATCTCACTAACCCGACAGATTGGATTCTGTACTATATCTGATTGTTCGTGTCTATAGTTTTGTAGTTCACGTTTTGTGGTCCTAATAGGAAAGCCATCGGGTAACTTATATTCTGCAAAGAAATATTTATATAACTTGAACCTTGAGTGTATTTACTTAAGACTGATTAGTTGGGAACCACTAAATAAAAAGTCTATTATTAAAAATCTAAAAAAACCTATAACTCTTAGGTCAAAACATTAAATAAATCTTAATGTAACCTTAATTTAGTTTTATTAGTATTCCGTAAATACTGAAAAAAAAATAAAATACAATCTCTGCTACAACATATTTCAAAACCTTACGTCCTATAAAAATGGTTTAAACACTTTTACATCTAAAGCCTTAACTAATTTTGATATATTTACAAAAAAACGGCATTTAATTAACTTAATATTAAATTTACAGCTCAGAAATCAAACTAAGTCTAATTACTTCATATAAAACAGAAAACATGTGTTGGGTGACATTAGATATCGTTTCAGCAAAAATGAATAAAAAACGCATATTAAAAACAAAATTATTCTACGACTACGAAGAGCTATTATTTTCTTTGTAACAAGAACTATTCACAACTTAACAACCTTTCCATCGGAAGTTTTATACAACATGGGTGGTTTATGATTATGTTGGTTTATCGAAACAAGGACTCGTCCTGCAAGAGTTGTACGAAGTCTTGCTTTACAGCCCGCTGCTTTCTTAGAGCAATACCATCTCATCTTTGAGGTCATGCTAGCAAAAGTATACCCCTTGTATAACAGTAGTTCTCCATTTTTCCGATTACTAGGTATGAATACAGTTTCATCTATAAAATCAAAGCGGATTTACTATATAAGAAGGAAATATAAACAAGTATCTTAAGACATAAGTAATAATGGAATAAAAAAAAAAACAAAACGAAGTAATAAAGAACTAAACCGATTAATATCATATTGTTAAACATTACTTATGTAAAACAAACTTAAGTGAAAACTAATGAAACAAGATCTTAATCGTAACCTTTAAAATAATTCACAAGATTATCTATACTATTATAATAAAGCGTAAACACACACTTCCTTGTTGCCTAAGATGTAGCAATTACATCATATTTTTGAATAATTATTTTTTTAATTAAAAGCCCTACACTTACGTCACGCTTTAGGTTATATATTTTCATGCCATTAAAACCCTAATGTGGGAAAGAGACCACAAGTTGCTGCAAACATCAAGGAAGCAAGGTTGTCAAGGCTTGTCATGTCATGTCATTTTGACATTTGCTTGACAAATTTAAACAATGAAATAAAGTTTTTATAATTACATGCGGATGAAGCCGCGCAGGAACAGCTAGTTAATATCCTAAGTTCGAACTTGAACTTTTAAGTTGAACACATTTATACTTTAAAAACCTTCCCATCACGGGTTCTGTACAAAGTAGGAGGTTGATGATTGTGTTCATTTATCATATCAATGACTCGGCCATCAGGAGTTGTGTGGACTCTTGCTTTACAACCTCCAGCTTTCTTAGAGCAATACCATCTCGTCTTGTCTTCGTGCTTATAGTTTATGTTAGCATAAGTATACTGCTTGTATAACAAAATCTTTCCTCTACCTCGGTTGCTAGGTATGTACTCTTCCTTATCTGAAATAGTAGAACTAATTAATTTTCTTACCTGACTTAATAGTGTAATACTATTCGGGCTAAAGTTAAGCGTATTTTTTACATAACGAGCACTGAATGACCTAATAAAAAGAGGTCACCTTTATAAATTAAAAGACATAAACTTTATGAAAAAAAAAACATTGAAATACAACTACCATCATTTATTACATTTATCAAATACTCACAAATTGGCCACTTGTAACTTTCGTCATTTTATCACAGGTAAATTTCTCAGTTCATAGTATACAGATAAGAACAATGGCAAACTACAGTCAAGGCTTTAGAAGATTAATAAGTGAAATTTAAATTAATATTTTGAGATAAATTAGATCTAAAAAGATCTAGTCATCGTCTATATTTGATTTTAAATAATTCTGGCAACTTTTATCTTGTGATATTAAAGTTTTAAATAAAATCCTTGTGTTGTCCTAAACAGACGTGGTGGAAGATGATTGTGAAATTCCGATAATATTTTTATCACCTTTCCCTGGGTATTGATCTTCAAAGCAGCCTTACATCCTCCTCGCCTAGATTTCGAACAACGTAGATATGACTTCCCGTAACCCACAAAAGAGTAAATGTGTTTTTTGTACTCGATAAACCTACCTTTTTTCCCTGGAATGAATGCTACATAACCTAAATCTGAAAATTGAAATGAACTACAGTTAGAGGGAAGCAGGTTTGTAAAAACTAGTAGTAAAAGACAAAGATTCATTTGATTCCTCTTTATTTTACTCCTGTAGGGTCGGGGCAACAGGTTTTTGTCCTCCACATAACTCTATCATACCTCATCTCAGTCATCACTCCCTTCTTGATCATGTCACCTTTCACGCAATCCATCCATCTCTTTCTAGTTCTACCTCTACCGGTGTCCCTTACACACTCATAACTAACGTTCTCCTTGTTACATGCAATTCATCCCTCCTCATAACATGCCCATACGATGATTTTCTAGCAATTGAGTTCATACTTTTATAGCATACTCTGGGTTGTGACTTTAATACTTCAAGTAAAGTCCCTCCAATTCGCAGCATCCACATTTCTCTTTTAAACAAAGTAATATTTTTTTCAATGTAGAACTACGTATATTTTTTTTACATTAATATGTAATAAATAAGTGTTTAAGTCGAAACATTATCAAACCTCTAAAAAGGATCAAATTTTCATATAGTGCCCATCATCAGTCTTGTAAACTTCTGGTGGTCTATGATTATGATCTATGTTTCTCTTGATGACTTTACCCGTGTCTTCAATCTTCAGTGTCGCTTTGCACTCACCTCGCATATATCTAGAGCAACGTAGGTATGTCTTGTTACGACCCGAAAAGGAGAATAAGTAATTTTCATACATTATCATACTTCTCTGCCTACGACTGGGCAAGAATTGTATGTAACCTAAACCTGTAAGATTAATATAATTAACTAGCTGTTCCCGTGCTACTTCATCCGCATGAAATTATAAAAATTTTATTTTATTGTTTACATTTGTCAAATTATCAATTGCAAATGTCAAAATGACATGACGATGACAACCCATGGCAACCTTGCCTCCTTGATGTTGCCAGCAAATTATGGTCTATTTCCCATATTAGGGTTTTCATCCAAAATATTTACCCCTTAAGTTTAATGGCATGAAAATATATAGCCCAAAGCGTGACGTAAGTGTAAGGCTGTTTATTAAAAAATGAATTATTCAAAAATATGCTGTAATAGTTGAGATCTTAGGCAACAAAGAAGTGTGTGTTTACGCTCTATTTTAATAGTATAGATGAAAAATTCCGTGTAAATCAAACCATTTACAATAGATATCTATTTATTTGTAATATTAGTTTTCACAATATCATATACGACGATGACAAAGCGAAAGAAACAAACTAAGCATTCTAACACCATGTCTTACTAGCTAGAAAGACAGATGATCCAAGATTTTACATCAACGAAATATACTTCAAAAATTACATAAACATTTTAGATTCGTAACTTACAGTAATAGAGAGAAATGGATGCAATTTAAAAAACATTACATTCTCCATAAACAAGAGAAAAATTATTTTCTAGTTCGCATAACAATATAATGGCCAGTTTTGGTGACGTGAATGACCGGAGGACAATGACTGTGGTTCAAAAAGGACCATATCATTATACCGTTTTGGTTTAATTTGATTCTCGCCTGGCATCCGTTTCTCTTCTGAGAACAATACCAGAAACCGGGTGCTTTCAAAACAAAAGTATACCCTTTCAGCAGTAATAAGTCCTTTTTCACACCTGACGGGATTAATTTATATCCTGCAAATGTAAAAGCATGTGGTAAACAATTACTTAACAATGTTCGAGTTATAGTAATCGAGATCGAGTTTGCACATCGTTGTAGCTGATTCAAACCTTATAGTATATTATCATAAAGTCTAGTTTGCAATAGACATGGGCGACATTAGATCAAACTTGCATATAATGGCCATCCGCCGTCTTATAAAGTTTTGGTGGGTAATGATTGTGTTCCATCATTTTGCTAAGCACTTTACCCTGTTCGTTGATCTTTAGGGATACTCTGCAGTTCCCACGTCTATATCTGCAGCATCGTAGCAGTGTCTTGTTAGAACTTGGGTGGGAGAAGAGATAATTCTCATACATAATAATGATACTTCTCGTCCCGCGCCCTGGCAGAAATTGTACGTAACCTAATTCTGGAACATTCAAATCAGTAATTCAATGAAGTTCGGTTATTAGGGAGTAGAAGAAAAACAAAATACTCTAGTGACACACGACGAGTAAATTTGAAAACATATCATGGGTAAAAGGAAACAAATTTAAAAACTCTTAGTGAAATAGACTTTTAGAATTGAGACAAAGCTCTTTTCAATTCTCAAACTCACAGATAAATAATAAAAAATGGAAGCTTTATTGATTAAAAAGAGTATAGATTACAGATACAAATGTAATAGCAAAAAAAAGTATTACCACCGAGGCTACTTTATGTTTCGCATTACAATATATTCGCCGGTCTTAGTTATGTGAATTTTGGGTGGGTTATGATTGTGATCTAGAGTTGATTGCACGATCACCCCCTTGTTTATCTTTACTTTCGCCGTGCATCCATTTAACTTCTTAGAACAATACCATAAACCCTGCGAAGTAGTCTCACTATAAGTATATCCTTTAAGCAGTAACAAATTCTTCTTCCACCCTGACGGAATGTATCTGTATTCTGCAAATATTTGTAAAAATCTTTAACTGATCTATACTCATTTTTGGATATAAAATAACACAAAATCTGCTGGGCGGATTTCAATAATTCTTTCACTATCAGAAAGCTACGTTATCGCTGAGTAACTTAGGCTATATTTCACGAGGACGAAGTTGCGAGCAACAGCTAGTCTTAAATATTTGAGGTTTGGTTCCTTTTTTAATATATATTGCCATCTTATTTTGTGTCACATTGACTAAAAATATAAGGCCTTTGTAAAATACCATTGCATATTGCTACTCGTATAAACGTATCTGAGCTGTTGGATAAAAAATTAACCTTACACCAGTAAATTATAAAAAAGTGCGAATTGTAGGATTAACACTGAGTAAAGATTGCATATATTTATTAATATTTTTTTATTTAATTTAATGTAATGTCGCCAGTAAAAGCCATTATTAAATTAAATACATTTAGTATTACTAGCTTTGTTAATTTAATGACAATTGGATAATCAAAGATACGATTAACAGTTTTTATAACTGCATAAAAAATTGATTTGGTTCCAATACAAGATATTTCTGGCCGCATCGCAATATCGGTTATAGTACCATGAATGTCCGAGATCAAATTTGCATATATTGTCCTTCCTTCGTCTTGTAAATTTTTGGTGGGTCATGATTGTGTTCCATAATTTTCCTGAGCACTTTTCCCTGCTCGTTAACCTTCAAGGCTGCTTTACAGTGCCCTCGGCTGTATCTAGAGCATCGTAGAATTGTCCTTTTAAGTCCAGAAAATGAGAAGAGATAATTCTCGTACATAACAATAACACTTCTCTGCCCGCGCCCTGGCAGGAATTGTACATAACCTAAATCTGCAACATTAAAATCAAGTAATCCAATGAAGTTACGATATTAGAGAAAATGTGATATACCTTTGTCACAATTAGACAGGTTAATAACAATTGGAAGGGAAAAGGATTTGAATTTCAAAATTTCCATGAAATTACACATTTCCAGTTCCGACCGACTTTTTTCAATCATTTGCAATAAAACATGAATAGGAACATATTGAAGCTTTATTTGAATTTAAAACTATAGATTACGATAACTATATATACTAATATAATAAAGCGTAAACACACACTTCTTTGTGACTTACGTCACGCTTTAGACTATATATTTTCACGCTATTAAACTTAAGGGGTAAGTACATTGGAAAACCTTCATCTGGGAAAGGGACCATTAACTACAAGCTGCCAACATTAAGGAAACAAATTATCGAGGCAACGGTAGTTTTAACATTTGCAATTGAGAATTTGACAAATGTAAACAGTAAAATAATTTCATGCGGATGAAGCCGCACGGGAACAGCTAGTATTTAATAAAAATGCATTACATATACCAAGATATTTTTATTTTCGAACCACAAAGCATTCACCAGACTTATTTCTGTGAATTTGTGGGGGGTTATGATTGTGATCGAGATTTGCTTTCACAATCACCCCCTCATTGTTCATTTTTACTTTCGCCGTGCATCCGTTGTATTTCCTAGAACAATACCAAAGACCCAGTGAAGCTGTCTGAGAGTATGTATATCCTTTAAGCAGCAACAAATTCTTCTTCCATCCTGACGGGATATATCTATATTCTGCGAATATTTATGAAATATATTTAACTTGTCCTAATTCCTAAATGACAAATGTATTGAATAAGAACCTATTTTAATGGTAGATGTAACCAGTACCGGTTGTGGCACTTCAAACCCTTTTTTACCGCGCGAACGTAATCGCGAGCGTAACGCACTATTAAATTAAAAAAAAAACATTTAGTAGCTTAGTTAATTTAAACATAATTTAATAATTAAAGTTTTGGTATAAACCAAATTTACTAAAATCAGAAGTAGATTCAGAAATATTGATAAATAATAACAACAAATACGCTCTAGTGATATACAAGTAGAATAGTAAACCATTCGAGGGGAAGAGACCAATTCAAAACTCTTCGATAAATCCGTACACTTTTAGAATTAAGACCAGGATCTTTTCCAACATTTCTAATAAAAAAAATAAACAGGCTATGGTATAGCTTTATTGATATTTGTTTGAATATTTAAGATTATCGATTACAGATACGGTTCCAAAGTTATTATCTGTTTCGAATCACATGACATTTTCGTCTCAATGATGTGAATTTTGATGGCTTTTTTATGTCTTATATCTAAAGTGGAAATAGCAGCTGTGGTAGTCAATTCCAGTACCAGTAACTTTGAAATAGATACAGAGATATTTGCAAGTCTTTATTCCAGAAGTCCAGTTCAGTTCAGTCCAGTCAGACCAAAGTATTACGTTGGTACTAGATTAAATTTTAAAATATTCCCCTTCCTTTGTCCTATAAATTTCTGGTGGATCATGATTGTGTTCCATATTTTTCTTAATCACTTTACCCTCCTTAGTGATGTTTAGGGTAACTTTGCAGCGCACTTGGGAGTATCTAGAACATCGTAGATATGTCCTCCGAACACCCGGAAAACAGAAGAGATAATTCTCATACATAATCAGATTTTTTTGTCCGCGTGCTGGCAAGAATTGTACACATCCTAAATCTGCAACATAAAAATCAATTTAATTAATTTTTGGGTATTAGAGAGTAGATAGGAGTAAAATAATGTGCAGTTTTATGCATTTAGTACCGAATACAACAAAAACAACTTCAGGGGAAAATAAACAATTTGCAATTCATCTTTTGAGTAGTAAAATGCACAACAAATTGGTAACACATAATTATATTTCAAACATATCTTCGCTTTGCGTGACAATGTACATCATACAAGGCGATGACTTTAGCGTCTTCGTCCAATTTAACTTTAGCTTTACATTTTATGTTCTTCTTCGAGCAAACCCAGGTATTAGGGCAATTTTTCAATTGCGAATACGTGTATCCACCGATCAAAATCATACTGCGTCCGCGTTGTGATATCACCCATTCGTAACTCATGTCTAAATTAGAAAGGAATAATTAGTAAAAAAAAACATTCTCTTTGTAGAAAACGTCGCTAACTCTTCCGAATTTCATATAATACATTTATCCAACGTTCTTACAGTAAGGAAAACATCATGACGCATCTTTATATTGTTAAGAACAAAATTAGTATCGTGCTATAGAATTGGCGCAACTCTAGATTATCGGCATAAACGTCACGTCCCTAGCTGACAGCTGTCAATGTCACTAGAAGTATGGATAGATTGGTCGTAACCTGACGAGAAGTGTTGCTTTGAGTTTAAAGCAACAGTATCAATTA